GCAAATTGCATCTGGGATATAGTTATCAGTCGAAAAAGCATGTGGCACAAGATGTGTTAAGTTTGATGAGGACAAGGGACTTTCTACTCCTCATCTTGAGCTACCCCATGAGAATTGGGCATGAAGAATCTCTAAAGCAATGGATCGACGACACCTCAAGGTTCATTGCTGATCATTCACGAGAGATGAAACTACTTAGCTTAGCTGATGATGAGCCGATGCAAGTTGCAGAATATGACCCTAATTTTGATAGTTTTTGGAGAAGCGTTGAGCATCTTGTCTCTGAAAGCCCACTGAGATATGTAGAAGTCATCGTACCAGAGGACATAACAGAAGAGATAAGAAATGGTTGTAGCGTCGGCAGATCGGAGGAGTTAACACCTGATTCCAACCCTACCAGCATGGAGACAGCTCTCAAACATGTTTCTCAACCCATTCTCTTCCTGGCTACTCGTCTTGCCGTTCACCAACTGACTCAAACCTTAACTTCAGAAAATATGCCCTGGTTTTCAACCAGAAACGATGGAGGAAAAAAAACCGTTGTGGGAGACATACAAGCAAATTTTCAATCTGATAGTATCAAAATCATTGATCTTAATCTGATCGATAATCAAGATAGAGAGTTTGTACTTATAAAGGTTGCAACGTGGCTAGAGCAGCCTACAAGTGCAGAGTCGCAGGCAAAAGATGACTATGCTTTGGTTGCAGAGTTACAAAAGAAGACGACTTTTAGTACTTCTGGTGGATGGAGATGGTGACAAAAAGCTAGACCCCCAGAAGGTGCGTTTTCCAATTCAAAGAGATTCTGAACATGTTGTGGTGTTTATAGCAACAGAAACACAATCATCAGCCCAGCAAAATTGCGAATTGACTAACAAAGTGGATCTGAGAATCAAGACAGAGGATCATTTGTTGCCTTGGGAGATCTTCTGCAAGCATGTTGGTACTGAGCTTCTACATTCGTCTGGTGCCATACAAAGAATTGCAGTGCAAATTGTCGAGAAATGTGGTGGTCATCTTCTTGCTGTAGTTCTAGTGGCTAAGTCATTGAAAGACGTAAAAGATGCAGAAAAATGGGAACTTACACTAGAAAAGTTAGGTCATGATAATTTATACGGTAAAACTAATACATTCAAAAATGTGAGCAAAGTGATGGTGAATGCATTCTTCAACATCTGGATGGATGTCATTTCTGAAGGACAAAAACCTCGCCTTGTCAGATGTTTAATGGCCTTCAAATTACCAGATCTGATGATGAGCGAAGATCAATTATTTGCTCGCTGGTTTTCTGAACAATTAATAGACACTGAAGAAGAAGCAAAACATACCCTAAGAGAGTTCGTGAAGCGTTCTATCTTGTTGCAATTTCAGGACAACCGAGGTCGGTATATCATATTGCCCGAAGACATTAAAATTATCTTAGTCGCATGGCTGGAGGAATACATGCATGACATCTTGAATGAAGGAGCATCACGATTCCCCGAGCCATCACCGTTTTCGCTCCTCAGAAGTCTGCGCTTATCCAACACTCGCATACAAGCTTTACCAAGTTCAATTTCACAGTTGACTCAACTTCAAATATTGAATTTGGAAGCGTGCAAGCAATTGGTGGAGTTCCCACGGGAGATGATTATTCAACTTCAGAAACTTGAGACTTTGAGTGTGCGTGGGTGTGAACGATTGCAGGTAAGTAGCGTCCTCTTGTCACAGTTCATAATTCATACTGTAGGTTAAATGAGAATTAAGTCCCCTTTAATCTCTAATTCCATTAAAATTTCATTAATTACAAAAAAGTCTCAGTTTTTCCAATAGGGTTATTATTGTGATTATATTACACCTAGCTATAATAGTTTTTTTTTTTTTTTATTATTTGTATGCATAAATCTACCAAGTCAGAGTATTGATGATGATGTGATTATTGTTGTTCATTTTAATCTAGCTAATATTTGTGTAATGTATTGCATTCTTTGATTGTGAAAAACTGACTGATGATTTAATGTTATTCCTCAGAAGAAGCATCACATCCTTTTCCCAATTTGCAATCTCAACTTTTATTTAAAAGTGACTCTAAATTTCAATTGTTCCCTTTCAAATCATTATACGCCCATTTTGTCTATGTGGCATACTATATTTGTTATAAATTTTGGGCTATTCGCTAGTTAGGGATTTCACCTATTTTCTTGTTCGGCTGGAAAGTTTCATTCACAAGTTCTTTTCTTTGTTCGGTGGCATTGACTTTTACTTGTTATCCTGTGTACTTTTCTCTTATTTTTAATGTAGGTTGCTTTTAACTATTTTATTATAATCAAATTGGTTATATTAATAAAATTATTTAAATTTTTTTTTATTTCTATATTTACTCCTATTGAATATTATAACTTTTTATAAATATATATTCCTTTTCTAATAGTTAAAACAGGGACATTTTTTTAAAAAAATAACTAACGCTTTTCATTATCTTGCAAAACGACTTGCATTTTGGATAATGAAACTCTTCTAGAAGGTGATTGCGTGGAGGACCAAAAGGAGTACAATCTTGTCGTTTTAGCCAAAAAATAAATTTTAAAAAACAAACATATTCTTTTGTCTGTAGAATTTTAATTCATATAATAGGCGTCAATCTAATAAGAAGTTACATTGTTGTTGTTGTTGTTCATTTATCTTAACCTCAAAATACCTTACATGTTTTTCAATGCATTATCTTTGGTTGCAAGATTGGGTCCGCGTGGGCACCACCAAAGACGTCCGAGTCAGCTGAGGATCCCGTTTCTGCAAAGAAAAAAAGTGTAAGTTGGATGAGGATATTTTCTGTCCCATTTCTTTAAAGTCACATATAGAATTAATTTATCCCATGAGAATTGAAATTAATAAATATCTTCACGACTTCACCAATCTAATATGATCTTCGAACTTCTGAGAACAGCACTGTTTCTCCATTTCACCAACTTTATGATGCTACAAAATTTAGAATTTCTAAATTTATATTTGAGGTGTCCATCTCATAAGAAGTTAGATAATTAGATTTTGTTTGTAATTGTGTCTGTTAGATTTTGAGGTGGAGGGGGTCAAAGGTGTTGTTGCTGTTGATAAGTGATACTTTCTTGTTTAACGGCTTCCTGTGCAGGATCTGCTATGTCTGATGAGGATAAGGGATTTTTTATGCCTCATCTTGAGCTACCCCATGAAGCTTGACTATGATGATGAAATGTTTCTAAGGGAATGGATGATCGAAGTTTCATTGTTAGGAGCCCAACATTGTTTGCAGGAAAGGCTCCAATATCTTATGTCTGGAAGTCCATTGAAATATGTGAAAGGGATAATACCAGAGGACATAACAGAACAGATTGAAAATGGGGGTAGCATCATCTTCAAGAAAAGCAACTCAAAGGAGCTTGCTACTGCTACCAGCAAAGACCCACCGCCCAATCATGTGCCTCAACCCATTCTTGACTTGGCCACTCGTCTTGCTGTTCACCAACTGGCTCACACTTTTTCTCGAGAAAGCCGTGCTAGATCATTTTATTGGATGGTAGGTCATGTTGTATGCTTGTCAGCGAGAAATGATGCAGAAAAACGAATTGTCGTGGAACGCATCAAAGCAAATTATCAGATCAGGGAGACATTTGAGAGTCTCCGAATCATTCATCTTAGTGAGACCGATGAAATGGATGATGCTTCAATGATTCGGTATCTATCGACTGCAGAGTCTTTTAAGAAAGATTACGAATTTGAAGTATTAGAGCTCCCGCGGAAAAAGAAATGGTTTAAAAATTTGGTGCTTCTAGTGGATAGGGATGGTGACAAAAGAGTAGACCTTCGAAAGCTGCCACGTTTAGCAAATTTTGGGGGTGTTTTTGTAATCATAACAACAGAATCATTGGCACTCCAAAATGGTGGATTGGCTTACAAGTTGGGTGTTAGAATCAGGACAGAGGATCATGTTCTGCCTTGGGAAGTCTTCTGCAAGAATGTAGGCAGAGAGCTTGTATACTCATCAAGTGCCATCCAGAGGGTTGCAGTGCAGATTGTTGAGGAGTGTGGTGGCCATCTTCATCTCATTGTCTATGTAGCAGAGTTATTGAAAGATGCGGAAGATGTTCAAATCTGGAACAAAATGTTGCAAAAGCTGCAGAATAGGATCCCATTCTGCGGAGGGACTGAACTTGAACTTGTGAGTGATGTCTCCCATCTTATTTGCATAATATTTGAGACATTTTTCACTTATTGTTTAAAAACGTTATTAAATTGTTTTATTTATTAAGACACATAGCAACTTTAATTATAATCTTATGAATTAAAAGAAAACAATGAATTACCTTATCGTTTGTACAAATAGTTTCGTAAGTTAAAGAATAAAATTTAAAAAAAAAATTAAAAATATTATATAAATAAAACCAAAGCAATAATAGGAAATGCATTTATCAACATCATCTCCGTGGACATTATTCTTGGGGGAAAAAAAAATTCACCTTACACTATGTTTGTGGCCTTCAAACTATGAGCCAAGATGAGTTTTTAATTAAGATTCTTTTGCAGTCAAATTAAATTTTATGTTTTTATTTAGGATTTTCCTTCAAACTATGAGCCAAGATGACTTTTTAATTAAGATTCTTTTTCAGTCAAATTAAATTTTATGTTTTTATTTATGATTTTCCTTATAATTAAGCAGCTTCTTGTGATTAACATTTTTATTTGTTTAAAAAATAAAATTAATTTATTTTTATTTGATATTGAAAGAATTACTTAATTTATGTCCTAACTAAAAAGTTACTTAATTAGACTTTGGACACAATGTGTATTTTCTTTAAAAAAGGGCTGACAGACATGTTCAGCCTTATATAAATTGTAGGATGATGGGATTTTTTATTTATTTATGTAATAATAGGCGTCAATCTCAGCAGCAGTTAAAAGTTTTCGTAATTGATATCCTCTAAAATTCTGGCCAAAAAACATCGTGTGCAGGATCTACCAAGTCTGGGGCGGACAAGGGATTTATTTCGCCTAATCTTGAGTTACCCCATGAAGCTTGGCTGTGAACGTTATATGTGGCGTTGGATCAGACGAGTTTCAGGCTCAGGAGTCCAACACGGTTTAGAGGAAAGGCTCCGTCGTTGCCTGTCTGAAAGTGCACTGGGACATGTGAAAGGGATTATACTAGAGGACATAATAGAACATATAATCAATGGGGATAGCATAATCTCCGAACAAGTGCCACCACCCATCCTTGACTTATCTTATCGGCTTGCTGTTGACCAACTGGTTCAATTTTTATCATATTCTTATGACCACTTTAAGCTGAGTATGCCTGTTGTGGAGTTCTTAACGAGAAATGATTTAGAAAAACGAACTGTTGTGGAAGACATCAAAGAAAATTTTCAAATTGGGGAGACATTTGAGATTCTCCAAATCATTAATCTCCATCGGATCAATGAAGAGTTTCGATATTTTAATGTTTCATTGTGGACGGAGGAGACTGATCTTGTATTGCGTCGGAGCGAAGGTTACGATTTTGAAGTTCTAAAGCTTCCAGGGCAAGATAAAAGTCACAGAAAGTTGATGCTTCTAGTGGATGGGGATGGTGATAAAAGAGGAGATCTCCAAAAGGTGTATATTCCTCTGGATATAAGATATTCTAAACATGCTGTTGTAATTATAACAACAGGATCATCTACACTCCAAAATGATGAATTGGCTTCCGAGATGGATGTTAGAATCAGGACAGAGGATCATGTTCTGCCTTGGGAAGTCTTCTGCAAGAATGTTGGCAGAGAGCTTTTATACTCATCAAGTGCCATCCAGAGAGTTGCAGTACAGATCGTTGAGGAGTGTGGTGGCCATCTTCTTGCCATTGTCTTCGCGGCAAAGTCGCTGAAACATGTGGAAGACGTTCAAATCTGGGAGCAAACTCTGCAAAAGTTACGGTATCGTAGCCCATCCTACAAACTGATTTTATTTAAACATGTGAGTGAAGTGTTAGTAAATGCATTCATCAACATCATATGGGAGGATGAAAGAAAAAAGCCTCGCCTTAACCAATGTTTAAATGCTTTCAAATTAAAAGCTAAGATGAGTAAAGGTGAATTGTTTGCCCGCTGGTTCTTTGAACAATTAATTGTCAATGGAGAAGAGGCAGAGCATACCTTGAGGGAGCTTGTGGATACTTCTATTTTACAAGAAATTGAAGATATTTACGGACAATATATCCTATTGCCAGAAGAATTGAAAATTATTTTAAGTGCATTGTCAGAGGAAAAATCACATTATAACTTGATAAGAGAACCATCAGGATTGACAAAGCCCCCGGGAGTTTGGGATTCACATGAAGCCATAAAGTTTCAAGCGACTTTCCCTATTAAAACCCTAAACTTATCCTATAGTGGCATACAAAGCTTACCTGGTTTTGTTTTTGAGTTAGATCAACTTCAAACATTGTCTTTGATAGGGTGTAAGCAATTCAAGCAACTGCTCCCTGAAATTGCTCAACTTCATTTTATTAAGCAGCTTTATCTTGATGGAACTTCAATTATGGATCTCCCACATTCTCTAAATTGCCCTAGCTTGAGAAGATTATCGTTAGGAAACAACCTCAATTTGATGGAAATACCACCCTCATTTTTGACCACATGCCTCAACTCCAAACTCTCGACTTGTCCCTTACTAGCATACATGATCTTCCAAGATCATTTTATAATTTACAAGAACTTGAATACTTCCATTTGAGAGATTGCGAGCTTTTCCTAGAACTTTCTCCAAATATTGGTCAACTTACAAATCTCATCGAGCTTGATCTCTATGGCACTCAAATTACACATTTGCCAAGTGACATTCAAAAGTTGACCAAGTTAAATACATTATCTTTCTCTTTTCTTGGATTTCCTCATGGTAGTGGTCATGAGAATAAATTCATGCCATCCTCCAACTTTGCAATGATACCTTTTGGTGCTCTATCCGGACTCAAAAATTTGGTGGAATTATGCATTGTTGTTAACTAGGATAATGGCTGGTGGTTTGAGAACTTTGAACATATCCTGGAAGAAATTACTGCATTAAAAGGGTTGAGAAAATTGGACATGTATATCCCAAGTGTAAGAGGAGTTAAATATGTTGAACCTGTCTTAGAAAAGCTTTCGTTTAATTTCAGATTCATCGTGGGCTATCATAAGCTGAGAATAATATCACGAGTATTACCTGCCATTGAAGAAAAGTTTGTAGCAAGTAATGGCAGCTTGAGATTTGTGAATGGTGAGGATTTTCCCAATGAAGTAATGCTCATTCTTTCTAAAGCATGGGCATTTTTTTTGGACCGCCACATGACCATCAAGAATCTATCTCAATTCGGGTGGAGCAATTTGAACCAGCTACGATTGTGCATTTTGGCAGAGTGTAATGAAATGCAGAGCATTGTAGATGGAGATGAAGACTTAGAGTCCTCCTTTGGTGAGCTGCAATTCTTGAGTATATTCTACATGAAAAATCTAACAAGCATCATTAATAGGGAAACACTTGGCAATTACACTTTTTGTAAGCTAAAGTTCTTAGCATTGCATACGTGTACTGAGTTAACCACCATCTTCACCAAAGACGTGCTTTATAATTTTTCTCACTTGGAGGAGCTTATAGTTGAAGATTGTCCCAAAGTAAGGAGCATCATCACTTACCAATCCTTAGGGGAGACAACATCTATTTTCCTGCCAAGATTGAGAAAGTTATCACTTCTCTTTGTACCAGAACTAGTTAGCATTTCAAGTGGGGTGAGTTTTGGGAGAAACTTAGAGAGGATAGGATTTTATTACTGTCCAAAACTCAAAAGCCTTTCCTCTAAGGAATTATTAAGCCAAAAGTTGAAACATATCATGGGAGAATTTGAATGGTGGGATGCACTCACCTGGAGTGAAGCAGAGTGGGGACAAGAAGGACGGCCCGATAAATTCAATCACATCTTTTTCACAGTTGATGAGGACCTTGATATCTTAACTCAATTAACTACATATGAGGTGGATGCTGTTGGGAGGACGAGACAGTGATTCAGGTGACATTCTATTATCTCTTTGTTGGAATTATAAAAATTTCCTTTTTTTTATCAATATTAATAATTCGTACAAGATTTTTTTGTTTAACTCTCACTGCGACATCAACTAGTAGTAGCTTGTTAGAAGGAATATAATTTTTTATTCAAAAATAAGTTTTGATTATAAAAAAGCCATTAAAAGATTTTATCTTTGAAGATGGAAAAAAAAAAAAGATGAAGGGATCAATGCCTAGCTGAGCTTCAACTTGCCATTTCAACCGTTGTATCTAGAGAAATTTTATGGGGAGAATTCTAGAGATTTACCAGATGTTGCATAATTATATCTATTTTGATTGAAGTTTCATATATAGCTAAAATGATATGAAGTATGGGGATTCCATTAAAAGTTTGTATGTATTTTAATTTTATATTTTTTACCGAATATTTTGATTCTATTAAAATTTTTATGTATAACTTGAAGGATTTTTCCTTTAGGCAAGAGTTATGATGATGTCATATATAACAAACTCTTATATCATTTTTTTTTCCTTTAGAATTGGAATTGGAGGACTGATCTTGCCGGATTCTAGAGATCTGAAGTATGAATTTGCATGCCCTCATTTATAAGGCTGAAGCCAAGCAAGAAAAAATGGTTTCGCTTGCTCAGATTTATCACAAGATCTGCAGCATTGTTGTTGTTTGCTTTAAACTACTTGCTTTGATTATTGGGTTTTGATGCTGATTTATTATTTGTATCTTAAAAGCATGAACATTGTACTACTTTCTATGTGGGATTGGATATATATGTGCATGATTGGGTTGCCCTTTATTCCATCATGAAGAAAACAATATTGTGTTCTGCTTCAACAAACAGAAATCAAGTGCTTGTATTTATGCGATTTTCATACTTTATATTCTGCCTATGTTCCTTTTTTTTTTTTTTATTCTAGCCATTTATTGCGCCTTTCTTCTTATGAAGAGGGACTTTCTTAACTTCATTAGGTAATCGGTTCAAATTATCCTTTAAAATTTCCCCGTTAAAGGTCTCATATCATTGTTGTTTCTTCCTTTTTAAGGGGTTCATATGTTTATTAAGTGATAAGTAAATTTATTAAAGAAAGACTTTTGCAAAACTCAACCAATAGTCTATCTTGTAATGCCAATTGCCAACTCTGACACATTTAGGTAGAACAATACTGAAAACTTACTTCATCACATTGAAAGATACATTTTCAATAGAATAAATGACAGTTAAGTTTCAAAACATTAAATTAGTAATAGTTAAGTGCTTGATATTTTTTTAAAATGAGTTGTAAATATTAATTTAGACAATTACAAATAAAAATTTTTAATATAATACGTAAAGATAGAAAACAAGTAGTACTAACCCAGATGGATGAAAATAATTTTGATAGCACAATACTTAAACTAATTCATTTTTAGTTCCACATGCTTCTTTTTTGTTTCAAAAATATATTAACTGAAACAAAAATGGCAGCTTCAAAGAAGATGAAGAAACAAAAAGAAAGGAGAAAAAAATGGAGGCAAAAGAAGAATGAAAGGTGCTCACAACAAACCTGAATCCATCTTTCTCTTCCAAGTTTCATTGATGTGAGACAGAGGCACCTCAACAATGTGACAGAGGCGAGATTAAGACAAAGGCTGAGATAAAGGTGAGAGGGAGGAGAAGCTAAAATCATGAGGAGAGGCTAAGAGGGAGAGCAAATTGCAAGACTGTGTAAGGGAAAGCACCATGATCAAGCACCCACAATGTCACCTGAACTCAAGAATTAGAGATCGTGAGACCAAAGGTGAAAGTACCATGAGTCCTCTGTCGAGGTTGACAGCCAAGAGGGAGGAGAAGCCAAGATTGTGAGGAGTGGTAGAGTGGAAGAGCAGATCTGTAGAGTTGAAGAATGTGTGGCATGAATGTGTTCAGGGTTTTCTTTTATTGCCAAGCCAAACGATTTGCTTGAAATGAGGGAAGGATGACAAAGGGGACAAAAAGGGGAATGAGGCTTGAAGGGCTACCAAGTTTTAAACCTTTTTTTTTTTAAGGTCTATCAGGGGTTAGACTCTAACCCGATTCACCAAAAACATTCAATTTTTTAAATTCAAAACCTTATTTAAACAGAGTCTTTAGACTCGGCCTTCATTTTTGACTCTAATAATATGATAGTTATCTTTGAGATTTAAATATATTATTTGTCATTGAAATTTTTAAATTTGAATTTGTTTAAATGATATTTACAACTCTTTTAAAAAAAAATACAAGGAACTGTCATTAATTGGAACTTAACTACATTCTCCTTTTTAAATGTCTTGAATTATAATTCTCCTCCTAGGCACCCGCGATTGCTTCATTAATTAAAAAATAAAATAAAATTTAAGGCAAACTTTCAAAAACGAAGTTTGTGAAATGGCTAGCAGTCACTGACTCTCTTGATTCCGGTAAATACTTGGAAATCCCAAGTATCCGGAGAAAAACTAAACACCAGATTTGGCCTTTATGAGGGAAAAGGTAAGCTAGAAGGTGATGGGCTGGGGGCAGAGACATCTTTCGTTTGCTGGAAGAGAGATAATGATCTAATAGGTCATTAATGCTATTCTAATCTTCTTCACGTTCTGTTTTAAATTTCCAATCAAGTCATGAAAGGAATTGAATAATCTGATCTCAAATTTCTGGCGGGATGGGAATAATGGAAATAATAAAACTCATTGAATCTCTTTGGCAAAGTTGTCAGAAGCTAAACAGGATGGTGATATGGGCTTCAAAGGTTTTGTTACTTTCAATGATGCTTTACTGGATAAAACAGCGTGGCGACTCATTCAAGCTCCTGATGCTTTATGGGTGTGGATTCTCAAGGAAATTTGAAACTTTTTAAAATTATTTTTATTTTATTATTTTGAGAACTGATATTTTGTATAATATATTTTGAGAAATAAAAATAATGTTTTTTTATTTTTCTTTATTTTCCAAAACAATAATTATAAAATACCTAAAAGTTATTTTTATTTTTTTATTCTTTAAAATAATATTTTATTTTTTTGTTTTATAAAACACTTGTTGAAAACATATTGTCAAATAAATTTTTTTATTCTCTCATTCTGGAGGACAAAAAACTGTTCCTAAAGTAGATTTTCAAACAGGTTCTTTAATTTCTTGACTCTACTTTTCTCGCTGCCTCTAAAGGATACAAGGCTTCATGGTGCTGGTCTAATAATGTTGAAGGCAGATCCTTTGTTGGAAGAGATCTTTGTTGGCAAATTGGTAATGGGAGATAGGTTCAAATTTGGAAAAATCGTTGGCTCCCCACCTTGAAAAAACCATCTACTTTCGCGAAGCGTTGATCCTGTTCTAAATGAAGACAATCTAGTTGCAAACTTGATTGAGAATAGTCAATGGAATCTTTCTCAGCTAACTGAATGGATAAGAGATGAGTACCGTCAAGCTATTCTACAAAACCCTTTATCTAGCAAAAACAGAGATGATAGAATCATTGGTTACCAGCAAAAAAAAAAAACGGGGGGGGGGGGGGGGGGAAGGATTATGTAAAAGCGGGCTATCCCAAGGCACAAAGGTGAGATACTGTGATAGTTGCTATTGCCAGCGCTTCGATTATAACTCCTGCTAATATTCGGCAGAATATATGGGCTGTTCGGGCACTAAAATGAGTTCAATAGCCTATCTGGCACGTTCTCTGCAATGACATTGCAATAAATGAAGCACTTGCTAAAAGAAGAAGGTAGCACTCAGATTTATGTACCATTTGTGAAGGAAGCCCGGAAACAATTGGGCACCTATTTTTTCCATATGGTTTGGCAGTGATCTTTCCTTTAAAATTGGCCCATGCAAAATTACAAGCTTCACAGACTGGTAGGTTTACATTACTAATTCTAGTAGCCCATTTTCTGACTTTGACATAGCACATATGTGCTGGCTGCTTTGGTTAATATGGAAGGGTGGGAATGAGTATTTAATCACGAAAAGCTGGACCCTTTATTTATCATCATCAACACGAAAAGTGTAATTCAGGAGTACCGGGCAACTTGTATACTGAGTGGAAATCAAGGAGTCCAACCAGCAACAGACCAAGACACGTACCTGGAATTTTCCACCACCAGGTTACCTCAAATTTAATTGTGATGGTGCTTTCAATCCAACGGCCAAAGCTGCTGCTATTGGAATTATCTGCAGAAATGATCATGGTAAGTTTCAGTGGGCTTTTGATGGAAAAAATAAAGTCTCCTCCGGCTTTCATGACTGAAGCATTGGCTTTAAGAAAGGCAATGCTTTTGGAAGTGGACTTGGGCAATGACAAAGTTATATTTAAAAGTGATTGCTCTAATTTAGTCAACAGTGTGAACAAGCATTGCTCTGATTTTAGTGATTGGTGTTGCTCTGGTTTGATTCTTGAAATACCGTACTTAGTGACTTCTAAAGCCAGTTTTTCAGTTTCTTTCACTTGGCGTGAGATCAATAAGGTGACTAACCACTTGGTTGATGGTGCTTGTAAGAATGTGTACTCTTTTGGGTGGGTGGATATACTATCACTTCCTTTGTCTAATATATTGGTATGAGGTTTCTGCACTTAACAAAGGGGATAAAGCAGGTTTGGGCTGATCTAGTTTCTTGTTTCTACTCTGTTTGCATTTTTTTAAAGGAAGATATTTATATATTTAATTTTATATATTTGATAAATTTATTTTCAATTAAATTAAGACATGTGATTTATTTATATATTTGTTTGATAAAAGTAATTTATTTATATATTATTTATTCTATAACAAGCACTTGTATTAGTATTATTAACATTTCAAAATGCACTAGTTTTGATTTGTTTGGACAGAATTATATTAAATATATAATTCTAAGTATTTAAGTCGTTTCATTGACACTTAAAAGCTTCAACTTACCCATTTTAGAGTTAATAAAACTATAAAAGTGACTTGACTTGGAAAATTAATTAATGTATTTATAAGATTACCTGAACTCACACATTATTCAATACTACTGCTATTAGTCTCACATAAGAAATTAATTTCCAATAAGTCCAACCACTCATCAATATTGAAATTTGAAATGTAAATACGGAAGATTAACTTGAAAATAAATTGAAAAAATAATTGATTTTTTTTATTTTGGATCTGATTGCAATTTTCCATTTGTTTATTGTTTTATTTTTATTGAGTTTGTTTTTGTCAATAAATTCTGTGTTTTGGGAGACTTTAAGATCAATAAATTGTAAATCGTCCTTTTGTGTTGTTAGGCTTTGGGATCCTAGTTTTGCAAAAATCATTTCCTACAGAAACTTGTCAAGTTCCCAATTTATTAATATTGTTGTTGTTGTCGTTGTTATGAGAGAAACGGTACAACCAAAGTAAAATACAAACCAAGATAAAAACTTGTCAGGTTTCCAATTTGTAACGGCTGAAAATTGATAAAAATCAAACTCGGTCTAGCCCCCAGTTCTTCAGCCTACGATTACCGGAAACATGATATTGCTGAGGATTAATTTAGTTTTTATAAAAATTTTGTTTTTGCATATATTCCATGAATTCTGAAATACACATGCACACACGGTTGAATTGTTTTTATAAACATGTATCTTTAACACTGTTAAAGCTTAGGAATATTAGAATATTGAAGATATTTGATTTTTTTTTTGTCGTATACATTAGAAAGTTAAATGTTGAATACACACACAAATAAAGCAAATATTTTTTTTTCTTTGGATTTGTCTATAAGGTCTCAGCAATGTGAAGGAATTCAACCCCAAGGACTAACATGACAACTAGCTATCGCCTGCTTTGTTCCTTTGGAATCTTCAAGTTACTCCCCACATCGAATTTAATACCAAGTGAAAGCTGCCACAATTAAGACAAAGTTCAGGGAATTAACCTTTCTCTTTTACGTAGGAAATGGATGGAACTATCTTATTGTCATGGGACACAGTGAAAAAAAACCTAAAATCTGAATTGTTGGGTTTAGCCATTCACTCTTGATAGATCAAGCTTTGGCCCAAATCCAAACCTACATTGTTAGATGGGAGCTCATCTAAATATTAATGAGATGCTAGGACTTTTATTTATGTGCAATGTTTTTCATTTGTATTTGAAAAATGAGAGGGAACATTTCCACCCCTTTTATGGAGAGGACGATATATATCATGATCTATATTAATATGCGGCAATAAATTGTTTCCATTTATGTGCATTTTTTTTTTCTTTTTTTTGGTAGAAGGGTTTTTTCCCCCTTTTTTTATTGTGCTTCTTTCTTTTCTTTATATGAGGAGGAATGTTGCTCGACTTCAGAATGTAATCAATACATCAAATAACATGAACATTTCCTTTTTATGATAGATTCAAGATTTGTTTGCATGTGAGATCTTTCTTTGTTCTAGCATTTGTACATGACCCAAGAACCAAGTGATGTTAATGCTAATTTTCCCCTGTATCTAGGTTGATCGTTCCTCTATTCTTTGATTGGGAAATTTGGGGATATGGAAATCTGAACAAAGGCTTTTATTTGAAGATAAGCTTGCCAAGACCAACCCAATCAAATAGTCCACCATAGTATCCTATTAGCTTATTAATTGTTTCTTCAGCAAAAAAAATTGAAATCTGACTCTCTGTATGCATGGAGAAAATTTAGTTAAAAAAGCCTTACTTTTTATCTTTAGTAGAGAAAGAATTTTATCAATCTCAACTAGTTGTCCAATAATTCAAGAGAAGCAGAGAATAATATCTGATTCTGATCAAAGACATCCTTTTTCATTTCAAGACATTGAAAGAGATTGATTCTGATCTCACATCAATTGAAGCTCAAAGACATACAAAAGCTTATTAGCGTATAACTAACGAAGTAAAGTGCAA